ATACTAGATATTGCAAATAAGGGAAACCATGGGACCTATGTTTCTTTGGGCCTGGCTTACTTCACTTAATATAATTTTTTCCAAGTTTTTCCATTTCTTAACAAATGTTTACTTTTATCTTGCCCAAATATTATTTTATCTTAATATAACTTTCTTTTGGGGTAGGTGATCATTATAGTAAAGTGATATGGTATGAAAAGCCAGTTTTAAAATATTCTAGGTAGTATAGGCAAGCCACCTGTCAACTAATATATTTACTTGTGACTATAATATGTAGGTAGGCATATCTCTCTTTAGAAAAAAAAATCTCATCATTGCCTGGCCTTTCGGTTTTAAGATAATATGTAGTATTTGTTGTTATCAGTTTAATATCTGAATTGCTCTCTATCCTAGGATAATATATTTTTATTAAAATCCTTTTTTACCATTACCTAAAGAAAAGAAAAAAAATCTTACAAAGAGATGATTCTTTTTATTATGACTCTTTTTATTTTTTAAGAACTTAGATGCCAAGTGAAATAGTGGTTTCAATAAAATGCTTTTAATAATGATCATTTTTAATGTTTTTCAGAGTGCTTTTGCGCTACCAACCATGGCTTTTTCGTTTCTCTGCCATACTTCAATATTGCCCATATACTGTGAACTTCAAAGGTACTATAAAATCTGAATATTTCTAATGTCTTAAAGTGGGTCTTTTTGCCCTTACGGATTTCAGATTGAATGCCATTCTCATTTATGAAACTTTTCTTTTCATCACTGGATTCAAAGTATTTTTTTTAAGTGAAACAAAATTAATTCTGTTCAAGTTAAGAATATTTCCTGAGTACTCTATGCACTAATTTTAATGTTTTTTTGTTTTGTTTCGTTTTTGTCCATTGTAAGGCTTGGGCACTATCACTGAGAGCTTTTTTGCTCAAAGCTAGTGTTCTATCACTTGAGCCACAGCTCCACTTCTGGTTTTTAGATTGTTAATTGGATAAGAATCTCAGGGACTTTCCTGCCTGGGCTGGCTTTGAACCTCTATTCTCAAATCTCAGCCTCCTGAGTTTCTAGGATTATAGGTATAAGCCACCAGCACCTGACAATTTTTACATTTTAAATTTTAGGGTCTCACCAGGTGCTGGTGGTTTACGCCTGTAAGCCTAGCTACTCAGGAGGCTGAGATCTGAGGACCACAGTTCAAAGCCAGCCCAGGCAGAAATCCATGAGTCTCTTACCTCTACTAAATTACCAAAAAGCCAGAAGTGGAGCTGTGGTTCAAGTGGTAGAGCACTAGCCTTTAGCAAAAGAAACTCATGGACATGTCTAGGCTCTGAGTTCAAGTCTCAGGAATGGTAGAGAAAAAAAAAACAAATAAAAACATGAGGATATTAGATTGGGTCTTTTTTTTTTTTGTCTGTTTTGGGGCCTGAACTCTGGGCCTGGGTGCTGTCCCTCAGCTCTTCAGCACAAGGCTAGCACTCTACCATTTGAGCTACAGCACCACTTTTGGCTTTTTCTGCTGTGTGGTGCTGAGGAATTGAACCTGGGGCCTCATGTGTGCAAGGCAAGCACTCTACCACTGAGCCACCTTCCCAGCCCTAGATTAGGTCTTGAATGACTGAAGGAGCCACTCTCTTGACGCAGGAGATACTTATTTCTTGAGATACAATTCAAATTACTGATTCTGCCTTTGCTGTTTTTTGTCTTTTAGCCCCTCAAAGAAGAGAATGCAGAGTGTAACTAATACAGCAATTGCTTTAAGTTTTCTCATTTACTTTGTATCTGCACTCTTTGGATACCTTACTTTTTATGGTGAGTATGTTCTTTGATTATAGATGATAAAATACATGATAGATAATCTCACATGTGACTATGTTAATTTGATCAGGTCCCAGATGATAGTGAAGCACTGCCGTAGCTAACTCTAGGGCCTTAAATAATCAATTCTTTGTCTTAGAAAGGTAGTGCAAGTTGACATTAATGACTTCATGTGAAATTTTCTTAAACATCTAAGTAAAAGTTGAGGCTTACAGATATTGATGTCTTTCTACAAAACAATGACTTTATTTATTTATTTTGGTCCATCATGGGGCTTGAACTCTGGGCTTGGGCACTGTCCCTCAGCTCTTCAACTCAAGGTGAGCGTTCTACCACTTGAACCACACTTGAACCGCCACTTCCGGTTTTCTAGTGGTTTAGTGGAGATAAGAGTCTCACAGACTTTCCTGCCCGGGTTGGCTTTGAACCGTGATCCTCAGATCTTAGCCTCCTGAGTAGCTAGGATTACAGGCGTGAGCCACCAGTGTCCAGCTATTTTTTTAATTGTACATAATACATTATACTGTAGTTGAGAAGTTTGGGTGCTGGAAGAATAAATTATCTTAAGTAAAAAAAAAAAAACAGCTTGAGAAACAAAAGGACTTTCACAGGACTTTACTGGTACACTTGCATATCAGGTATGTGCCTCAGAACTCTGCAAATGTGCAGCCTATGATGCACCAGGATTTCCTAAATATTCTTATGAGCACATTTAAATTCATGAAAGTAAGTATTCTTTAGAATGTATTTAAATTCATAAAAGTAAAATTCTGTTTATTTTGCCCTTTTTTTTCTTTTGACAGGAATTTCAGGAAAATCATAAAACTTAAAATGTCTAGAATAACTTAAAATATTGGAATCAGCAGTAATCATGGCCATCCCATAAGTCTAATATATATATGTATATATATATATACATATATATATTTATTTATATGTGTGTTATACACACACACACAGAGTTTTTGGCAGTTTAAACTCAGGACCTCACACTTGCTAGGAAATACTCCACAACTTGAGCCATGTTTTCAGCCCATTTTGCTTCTGGTTATTCAGATAGGGTCTCATGGTTTTTCTTTTTCTCATTTCTTTTTCTCAGACTAAGTCCAGAGTCCTCTACCTCTACCTATACCTCATGTATAGTTTGGATTATAGGCATGTACCTCTATGTCCAGGTTATGAGTTGAGGTAGATTTTCACTAACCTTTTAGCCTGGGCTGGTCACAAACCTTGATCCCACTGATTTCTGCCTTTTGAGTAACTGGAATATGCTAGGACATACATATTGTTTAAATTAAATTGATCACCTGACACAAATAGACTGCTTACCACTTAGCTGAACTTCTTGGAGCCAGTAGTGATTGAAACTGTGGAGTTTTTAGAATATTTATGTAGACTTTTATGCTCAAAGAATTTTGGATTTTAGATCATTTCAGATTTTGGATTTTCAAATTAAGGGTACTTAGTCTGCACTATATTTAGTGATCAGCAACATTGAAAGAAAGTCCAAAATTGCTGACCTTCTCCTTTCTATGGGTAATTAGAACTGTCTTGGAAAAATTCCACCAGCTTATCCGTATTCTATCAGTATTCCAAGATGACTGAGAAATACTTCCAGGAGTCTGTGAATCATTAGGTACTTTGGAATTATGTTAAATTGTGACAAAGCCTAAATGGCAAGGGAGGTAGAAGAGTGAGGTAGGTGATATGTTTCTTGAACTAGCCTGTAAGCACTTTACACTCATTGCCTCCCTCCTCTCTGTTCTGCAAAGTGTGTGAAAGGGTCCTTTGGGTTGAGTCATTAAGCACTGCAGATAATGAGTAATGGAGTTGAGGTCTGAATCCCATTGTGTCTCTTCAAACCCACAGCCTTTGTTTCTGTGCTGCCTCCTCAGAGCTTACACTATAGAGCCACGTAGTCCTTCTTTGCTAAGTTTTTGTTAAAATGAACTTTGGGGTAATCTTGGCTCACTTAAGTTTCAGGGATATCTGCCCATCTGTTATTGTTACTGAAACACAAATTTAATTTTTTTTTTATCATGTAAAATGTTTCCTTGAAGCTGAGCATTGGTGGCTCACACATGTAATCCTTGCTACTCAGGAGGCTGAGATCTGAGAATCGGGATTCAAAGCCAGCCCAGGCAGGAAAGTCCATGAGACTCTCCAATTAAGCACCAAAATAAACCAGAAGTAGAGCTGTTGCTTAAGTGGTAGAGTGCCTTGAGCAATAAAAGCTCAGGTACAGTATCCAAGAGTTCAAGCCCCAGGACCAGCACACATGTACAAAAATGTTACCTAGATAGGAATTTACCTGGTTATCAAGTAAAACTATTAATATTTTTTTCTGACTTAATCTCTTCTTCACAATGTGTGTTCTTTGGTGGAGGAAACCCCAGCTACAAGAATTCACACAGTAGATAGGCAGATAATATATACATGATAGATACCAGCAGAATGCTAGAAAAGCCATTCTTTTTCTAAAGTCAGAAGATCTCTCCACAGTGGCTCTTTTTTATGTTCATAATTACCAAGAAAAGTCTTTGGTTATATACCTCTATTGGGATAACAAGTGCTCTCTGTCTTATAGAAAGAAATTGCTAATCAAGATCTTATCAAAAGGACTGGCCTGAAGCTAAAGTGTTCAGTTCATTGTTTAGTTGTTCTATTGTAGTACAGAGAGGTAGGATGACCTGTCACTGGGTGAATGACAGGTTTCCTGCATACAAATCCACTGTCATTTCTGCTACTGTGATAATCCTTATATAAACCTCACTATATTGGTGTGTTAAACTGGAAGCCTCTTGACTTTGGTGGCATATATGACTGGCAAAGATCACCTTCAGGTTCTCTGAGATTTGTAGAGACTTATCTGAATCCAGAGGAGCAGGCTCTTCTCTATTCTTTACATATGTTAAGGCTCAGCTAGGAACACAGAATGACAGACTTGGAAGAAAGGTTTTCATCCTGGGAGACTATAAAGTAGACATGTGACATATATTTTGAATTTGTAATAAGTGTAGTTCTTTAGATTTCTGCAGCTGTGTGGGATCCTTTTATCCAGAGTTCCTAAGTCCTAGTTAATTTCTATTTTTTGTCAGATTCCAGGGGCTAATAAGTATGTACATAGAATTTATAGCATCAACTCTTATTACAGATGCCAAAACATTATGTAGTTAAAAAAAAAGGAAATATGGTGAACCAGGCTACTGCCCGAATGGTGTATAATCACCATCTTAAAACTTACAAAATTGTTTAGAGGTTTAATAGCTCATTTTATGATTCAGAAAATGAAAATCAAATCATTTGCCATATTTCTCCAAAGACATAAATATCTCACAGATTTAGAAATACAGTGCAGATTTCCTGACTCTTCCTAGCCTTCTTAGTCCATTGGTCTAACTAACATTCAGTAAATTATATCCATAGTTCTTTCAAGAATTCTTTTCTCTCTCATGTCCGTGATCACTGATCTAGAAGACTCTCATATTTCAGTGATGATGATGACAGTAGCCTAACTCTTCATGTTCTGGGAGTTTCCTTTGAGTTGTACACTCTTCTCCCTGTGTCTTCTCCCATAAACCCTCAGCAGAGCTGCAGTATGAAGGCCTCATTGCACCACCTGCCCACTCACCAGCATACTCCTTGAGCCCTCCACATGTGATGTCACAGCCCCTGCTGTCCTTACAGGACAGTGCACATGGCTGTTACGTCAGGGCTTCTGCTTTGTCAGTTCAAACTTCTAGAGAATGTCTCTTCTAGCTTTTGAATGTCAGCATGAATATACTGACTCACTTCATGTCCTCCGAGACTCTAGGTCAGTGTATTAGTGTCCCCATTCTAAAGATGCAAGAACAGAGACTCGGGGATGTTATTAGTTAGGAATGGGATTTGAACATTGTTTTGTGGTCTCGATTTAGAAATGTCGTAGCTCTTTGTTTAGAACACTTCTGTGTGGTTTTGTGTGTATACATTTTCTGTTCGGTCTGTATATATTTATCTTCTTTTCCCTTTAAACTTAAGGTCCTTGAAAGCAAAGGTTTATTGACCCAAAAAAGCTAGAGCTTTGCCAGGTTACCCCCAATTACTAGGTACAAATTATGAAAGCTGGGAGGCATTACTGAGGAATGGTTGACCAGAGGAGCTGGGGTTGGTGTGTATATTACATGGAGTTTAGGCGGCTGTGGGTCCTATAGACCAGGCACCCTTTGTGACCCAAGGTAAAAGGGGCTTCACAGCCTGAGCTTCAAATCAAATTGCATGACTACCATTGATCTCTCTTCTTTGGTTTGAAAACATTCTAATAAGAATTGCAGTGGGAAGGGAGGGTGGAGGTTGGGCGGGAGGGTAGAGATGGGAAGGCATGGTAAGGGGAAACAAAGGGGGAGACAACAATGCTTGATAAGAAATGTACTCATTACCTTGCTCATGTAATTGTAACCCCTCTGTATGATATTTTCACAATTAAAAAAAAGAATTGCAGTGATGGTGTTGGAAAAGCATTTGGGAAAATTTTACTAAACTTAATTACAGGTTGCCTTAGAATATACTATAGCATGCTATATATAGTTTAGCTATAGTATATTTTAAGTTTCTTCCCCTATCGTAACTGAAGTTGATCCAAATATGTGTAAGTAACTGCTGCATTATTTTTGCAAAACATCGTACATTTTAACTAATGTCTTTGTGTTTCATAGAATGGAAGGTGGGAGACATTGGTAATGGAAATCTAAATCTAAATCTGGTATAACAAAATAATTTTGCTACTATTGACATCTTAAGTTTATATGTGATCTGTATTTTTTTTTAATTTACAGACAAAGTGGAATCAGAGTTACTACAAGGTTATGGTAAATACTTGCCTCATGATGCTGCAGTCATGACTGTGAAGTTATGCATGCTGTTTGCTGTGCTTTTGACAGTCCCTCTAATCCATTTCCCTGTAAGTACGTGTAAAGGTTTTGGTGCTTAGTGTCGTGGCTCCCTAACATGGCACACTAATTCTTTGCAGACTACAAACCTTTGAATTACATCTAGGCTTGTGTATCTTATTCATTTGTCAAGTAATTGATCAAAGACCTCATCCTTGCATATGGCCCCATGAAAGCACAAGCGGAACAGTGAACCACTAAGCTAATTTGTGCTTTCTGAGATTTAGTTTAGATTTATGCCTCCCGCAGCATTGTTTCCAATTTAGAGACTAGAGTTCTTCTAACGTTTGGGGAATTGCCCCCCCTTTCTGTTCTGTCTTCAAAAGAATATGCATGAAGACAAAAAAGTGAAGTCAGCAAAAATCAGCTCCTACTGGTTTATTGCAGATTTATTTTTCACAAAGACATGCTAGTTTAATCTTAGTGAAATCCTGTATTTTCTTGAGACTTTCATTTAAGGGGAAGAACAGGTTTTTGATCTGCATCTAGTTGCAATATGTAAGAATTTTAAGAATTTCTGAGAAAATGATAATAGAGGCTTTGGGAATAAATCCTTCTACATGGGTGTCTTGAACCTCTTTAACAGTGATTTTTATTTTAAGAATTGGGCCTTCAGGACTTTTTGCTCCTCCTTGTGCCTAGAGGCTTTGGGACTAAGTCCTTCTATATTTGTGTCTTGAATCTCTTTAACAGTGCGTTTTTCAAGGATTGGGCTTTCTGGACTCAGAGTCAAGAGCACTGCAGGCTGGGTAAAGCCCTGTGTGATAGGACAGGCTACTCCCTACCCCAGCAGCTGAAGTGGAATGAACTGGTTTCCATATTAAGATACTGTGAAACAGATCACAGAAAATAAAATTGTAAATGACATTTCCCATGGCATGATTTCTTCTATTTTAAACATTTGTTTTTCTGTTGGATTTAATGAAAATGATGCTTTGAAATTTCATCACATAGTGTGATTGTTGGTAAATTCTTAAATTATGCAACCTAAAAATATTGCCAAGTTTTTGTAGAATTTAAGCAATATGATTTTATGACACTTCTATTGAAAGATTGATGTGTGTAAACACTCAGTTTATGTGTATGCACACTTTATACTAATTGTTGAGGCTGTATTTCAGAAACAAATGATTTGGGAGCAGGAATGTCATGGCTACCATCTATGTGTTTATCTGAGTGAAAGCTGGCCTCCTCTTTGTCTGAATCTGTCTCTTTTTCTCTGACACAGGCCAGAAAAGCTTTAATGATGCTGCTTTTCTCCAATTCTCCATTTTCCTGGATTCGCCATTCTTTGGTCACTCTAGCCCTCAATATTACCATCATTTTACTTGCAATATATGTTCCTGACATTAGAAATGTATTTGGTGTTGTTGGTAAGTTTCTTTCTTTGTGTGTGTGTGTATGTGCCAGTCCTGGAACTTGAAGTCAGGGCCTGGGTACTGTCTCTTAGCTTTTTTACACAAGGCTAACTACCACAGCTCCACTTACAGCTTTTTGTGGTTAGTTGGAGATAAGTGTCTCATGGACTTTACTGCTTCAACTGGTTTTGAACTGTGGTCCTCAGCAGCTTTCTGAGTAGCTAAGATTACAGAGTCACTAATGCTTATCAAGTTTTCCATTTTAAAGAAAGAGAAGTCAAAAAAGAAAGAAAGAAAGAGAAGTCCACATACTACAAGAATGAAAAGTGTTATCTGCCCAACATCTAAATCCAACAGTTTCTCCCTTTTTTTTCCTCCAACTTATAGGTGCCACTACATCAACTTGTTTGATTTTCGTATTCCCAGGACTATTTTATCTTAAACTTAGCAGAGAAGATTTTCTCTCATGGAAAAAGCTTGGGGTAGGTTATTTTTTTTTAAAGATGTCCATTTTAAGAAATAATATGTCAAAAAATCTGTAGTTTAAAGATAAAATATAAGTTGGGTGCAGTGGCTCATGCCTATAATCCTAGCTACTCCAGAAGCTGAGATCTGAGGATCACGGTTGAAAGCCAGCTCAGGCAGGAAAGTCTTTGAGACTCTTATCTCCAATTAACCACCAGAAAACTAGAAGTGGCGCTATGGCTCAAGTGGTAGAGTGCTAGCCTTGAGCTGAAGAGCTGAGGGACAGCACCCAGGCTCAGAGTTCAAGCTCGACGACTGACAAGAAAAAAAAATTATATATATGTAAAATATATTATTGGACAAGACAAACATATAAAAACATACTCCTAAATATTCATTATCTTTTTTTATTTCCATAGGCTTTCATTTTGCTCATCTGTGGAATTTTGGTTGGAAATTTTAGTTTAGCACTTATCATTTTTGATTGGGTTAATAAATAAAGGAAACATTTTTTCTATTATGAAGAATAATTTACCTCCATCTGCAAGAAGAAGTGATTCTGAGAGGCACATTAGATGGAAAATACATTTTTATGAAAATTGTTAACAGAAAACCAGAACAAAATGTCAGGAGAAAGCAGGCATATAAGCTGGGCGCTGGTGGCTCACGCCTGTAATCCTAGCTACTCAGGAGGCTGAGATCTGAGGATCACAGTTCAAAGCCAGCCCAGGCAGGAAAGACTGTGAGACTCCTATCTCCAGTAAACCACCAGAAAACCGGAAGTGGCGCTGTAGCTCAAGTGGTAGAGCGCTCGCCTTGAGCTGAAAAGCTGAAGGACAGTGCCCAGGCCCAGAGTTCAAGCCCCACGACCGACAAAAAAAAGAAAGCAGGCATATAATAGTTTCAATAAAAATAAAAACTGAAAGTGCACTTAAATATATTGAGTCAATCTTTTGTTTAATTGGGACTTTTCAGAACTAACATTCTTTATTTACTTGAACTCAGGGTCTCACACCTTTTCAGCTTGCTTGCCTAGCTGGTACTTGACCACTTGAAACATTTCCAGCCTGATTTTTGGTGATTTTGGAAATGGAATATCATGGGTTTTTTTCCTCAGACTGGCTTCAAATCTTGACCCTCCAAATTTCAACCTCCTGAGTAGCCAGGAGTATACACACAAGCCACCAGTGTCCAGATTTGTAGACATTATTATTACTATTATTATTATTTTGCCAGTTCTGGGGCTTAAACTCAGACCCTGGACACTGCCCCTGAGCTTCTTTTGCTCAAGGCTAGCACTATACCACTTGAGCCACAGCGTCACTTCCCACTTTTTCCATTTATGGGTACTAGAATCAAACCCAGGGCTTCATGCATGTTAGGTAAGCACTGTACCACAAAGCCACATTCCCAGCTCTAGATGTAATTTTTTACTAGTATTGTGTTTCCATAAATATTGAGCAAAAGCTATAGAGAATGGCATATACCTACTTGTCCCCCAAACAGTTATACTTTCACTTTTTATTCACATCTTGTGTTAGTAAGGTACATTGGTTACACTCAGTGATCCCCCTTTTGAGACACCATTATTAAGTTTGTAGTTTACACTTATGGAGTGCTTAGTTCAGTTTTGGTAATCATTGATCTTATCCTGTCTCCTTGGTTTTGCTTTTTCTAAAATGTCATGTGATTGGGATTATATAGAAGCATGTATGCTTTTCAAGCTGGCTGATTTATCAATATACAATTACATACCTTCTATGTCTTTGTGTGTGTATGGCTTGTTAGCTCCTTTCTTTTTATCACTGATTAATATTCCATTGTATGGATGAGTGGATGATAGTTTGCTTACAAAGAGTTTTTGATCACTTCCAAATTTAGGCAATTACAAGTATAGCTGCTATAAATATTTGTGTGGAGGATTTTATGTGGACATGTATCCAGTTTTTGGATGTAAGTACCCAGGAGCACAATTGCTCTAGTGCAAGCTGAGAGTATGTTTAGTTTTATAAGAAACTAACAGATTGCTTCCTGAAGAAGTTGTACCATTTTTCAGTCTCACCATCAATGATCTAGAGTCCCTGTTGTCCCTCATCCTCACCAACATTTGATGTTATCAGCGCTTTGAATTTTTACCTTTTTAGTTGGTGTATAGTGTATCTCATTGTTTTGTGATTCCCTAGTGATATGATTTTGAGCATCTTCTCATATGTTTATTTGACCTCTGTATACTTTCTTTGAGGAGGTATCTAGCTCTGGCCTTTTCTTTTTTTGGATGTGTGTGTGTGTGTGTGTGTGTTAGAAAGGGTAAGTTCATACCTGACAATATTGGGGCTTAAACTCAAAGCCTCACTCTCTCACTTGCTTTTTCACTCACAGCTAGCACTCTACCACTTGAGCCACACCTCCACTTCCAGTTTCTCACTCATGAATTGAAGATAACAGTCTTTCAAATTTGCTTGCCCCATCTAGCTTTGAACCAAATTCTCAGATCTCAGCCACCTGAGTAGCTATAATTACAGATATGAGCCACTGACACCCAGCTTGCCTATTTTTTTTTTGCTGCAAAAAGCTTTATTTTCTTTTTTTTTTCCTTTTCTTAATTTGTTTTCTTTCTTTTTTTTGTGAAAATACTGTACAGAGGGGTTACAATTACAGGGGCAAGATAATGAGTACATTTCTTATCAAGCATTGTAGCCTCCTCCTTTGTTTCCCCTTACCATCCCATCCTCCCCCCCCCCCCCGCCCCCCCAATCTTCCTCCCACACACACCAAAGTTGTAAAGTTCATTTTCGACATAACGACTTGTACATCTCATTGTTGCAATGGGTCCACCTGTATCCCTATTTAAACGATTTGAAAAAGCTTTATTTTCATTTGGTCCAAGGCTTGGGAAGGGCTCCAGGATGGTTAGTTAGGAAGTTTCCCAGAGGCAGAAGCTCAGGCCAAAACCCTGATGTCAGGCGAGGCAGAGATGGCCCCTCAAAGGCTGCTGGACTCTGGGGTTTTCTAGTGGTGTTTGAGGGTGAGGCACTGGAAAAGATACCTGCCCAGCTGGGCCTGAGGGGCCGCCCCCAGCCTGCAGAGGTTGGTTAAGTGGTCGCCCATCTTCTTGATGAGCTTCACCTTTCATCCAGGAAGTGGTTCTCTAGGAAGTCACAGAGTTGGGGGTCTGTGCGAGCAGAATCCAAGGCATGAAGATCCACAACGGCTTGGTTCAGGCTCTTCTCCAGGCCAGGGCGGCTTCCATGGCTTTCACGGTTTTACCCCCCTCATCCTGAGAAGGTCTCTGCACATCCTGGTTCTGCATCTTCAGGAGGCGCTGGGTGCCCTCACGCTTCTCCTCCGCCAACTCGCCAAAGAAGTGGCCCACGCCGTCCCCAGCCACATGGGGGCCATCGACATAGTGACCCCGGGAGAGGTCAGTGTAGGAGCCCTCAGAGGCGAGCTGACCAGGCGGTTGACGGCAGCCTCCACCTCGGCGGAGTAATTCTGATGAATCTGGGAGGTCATGGCTGGTTGTGGATACAGAGCTAACCAGAGAAAAACACGGCATTGGTTGGTCCTGGAGGAGATCACGGTCAGAGGTGGTGAGTGGAGAGGCAGCTAGTGGTGGAAAGAGGAGGCTTCAGGTCTGTTCCGTCCGAGCACGGTGGAAGAAAGACGCAGATCCGCGGGACTGGCGCGCTGCTGCTCTTGCCCATTCTTAAATTGGATTGTTTTCTTGTTGAGCTTTGATGCCTGTCCTTTGAGATAGATGTCTGGCAAGTATTTTCTCTGTCTATGTCTTGCCTTTTTATTTGTTAACAGTGTCTTGCTCAGAGCATAATTTTTTTTAATGTTATACATATTAATATTTTTGTGTGCTGATCCTGGGCTTGAACTCAGGGTCTGGGTGCTGTCTTTGCTTAAGCTAGCATTCTACCACTGGAGCCACAGATCCACTTCCAGCTTTTTGGTGAGTAATTGGAAATAAGAGTCTTACAGACATTCCTGCCCAAGTTGGCCTTCAACCATCACCGATCTCAGCCTTTTACGTAGCTAGGATTATAGGCATGAGCCTCTGATGTCCAGCTAATATTCTATTTTTAAAGAAATCAGTGAGTTAACCTTAGATACAAAATTGATTGTTAGCTTTCAAGTTAATGTTACTAGCCTCAGTCACTAATACCAAAACTGTGAGATGATTCCACTTGATATTTTGCCCTGCCTCCAGATCATATCCAAAAGCTTTGGAGAGCTCTGTTATTATGTGGATTTGAAAGATCTCTGAATTTTCAGTTTGTCACTAGAACATGTGACCTTCTGCTCCACAGAAACAAAAGTTAAACAGCCATATCATATATTACTTGGAAGTTGTGAATAATTGCATCTTCCCATCGACAGGGCTAATGTGTGCTTGGAACCTAGAAGCTAGGGCTCTGCTGCTGTGAGTATTCTGTGTGGAGGGCCCCGTGGTTAGCACTCTACCAAAGCCAGGGTGTATCAGTTAAAATGTAATTCTACCTCAGTCCACATGTAAAGTAGGGAATTGCATGCAAAATGACAATTTGCATATAGTAAATGTACAGGTGCCCTCTTGTTTTTCACTTAGGAAATAGGCCGAAAATGGACAACTGAGCATCTCTTTTGAAAAGAGCAGAGATACTGATTTGGCAATTTGAGAACACTATGGTATAATGGAAAAAAATCCATGCTTGGGGGTAGGAAAACTTGGTTTCTAATTTCAATTGAAGGCTTACTACTTAGCTTAACTTTCAAATCTGTAAAATGGAGTTAATATCTATATACAGGCTTATATTGAGAGAACTACAATGGCCTTTGGTAAATTAAGTGCAGACCAAAACAGATTTTCTTAGTAGATTAGCTATTTGTCATCTTTTTGTGATCCTTTATCTAGACAAAATGCTTTCAACCAAGGACATGGAAATGTGTCTTGAATTTTCTCATCTTCTATTGTGCCTGTTACCTTCTCTAGCTTTCATTCACAGGGGAGCTGACCCGAGAGCACTATTTTCAGTGCTTTCCCACAGTTCTACCCCAGCTGTTCCCTCTTCCTAATGCCTTCCTGAAACCAAGCACTTGGCCTGGTCCCAGGGGCACAGCCAGGCAAGGCCTCCCATGCAGCTTCAGGTCAGACAGATCCCATCAATCTGATAGCTGCAACTTGTACCTTCTTCTTCTGCTTATGAAATTAGAGGTCCACATATACATAGGTGTTTGGCTGCTTAAATAAATCTAACTCTAGTTATACCACAATAACCTTAAATCTACAACAGATGCAAAGATGCCCCCTGGGGCAAATGTTAAGTGTGATGACAGCTGGGCATCAATTAGCACATTTGTCACCTGCTCTTGAGATAGTATCACAGGAGGCTTGGCAAAAGAGACAAATAACCTATGTCACTGTCTGCATAAAACTTAGTTAATAGCAAGAAAAATGATTCAGGGAGATGTTTGGTTTTATCTCACTATAATGTTCCTCCTCCTCTGCTTGCCTATTTGGAACCACATTTCTAGGTTTGGAGAAAGCTAGCAGGAAGGCTGGCAAAGGCTCTGTCTCCTTCACCATGATTACCACAAAACCTTGGTCAAGTACCCTCAGCATCTTTTCTGGGAAATCGGCCCCTTCTCATTAATGTTCATAATTTATTAGGTAATAAGTTTAAAATAAAACTAAGAAAAGCACAAAATACATTCTTTTCTAACATTTGGAGACTTGTTTGCTAGATTAAAAGACAGGATGCCAAGACAATAAATTACTTTCATATGTTGAAAGTGAATGTTTAAATTATACTTTTTTAAAAAATAGAATGTTTACTCATGAGCTTAGCATTTAAATAGTTAAAACAAGCCTTTGAAGTTAACACTCCATTAAGATGAATGGGGGTAATTCACACCTCTGCTGGTGCTGTATTATTTCAGTCTGG